TGAAAATTTTAACACAAAAATAGCGTTTTTTTAACTACGGCAGCCGTTTATATACAGAAGATAAAGTGTCGGGACAAATTTTTTTTTTCATTTTGTAGTACATAAAATAAGCTTTAATTTGATATATTTTTAAAGGACGCAGTATTTCTGGAACATTTTCAAAAATTAAGTTGAAAAAGTTAGTTTTTGAAAAAAAGTTGCTATTTTAAATCCCCCCCAATGAGCAGGTTAAGTGTTAGATTTTCAAAAAAATGATATCAAATGAAAGGAAAATATCTAAGGTTTTAGTATAAAAAAAAATTATGTTGATTTGTTTATTTTTGAAAAAGTTATGGAAGTTTTAAGGACGACTGGTCTCACTGGACACCTATTGAAATTACGCACTTGGAATTTCAAATTGGAAATTCAGAGAACCGGAAGGTAACTAGAACGCAATTACCTTTAGTTGAGGCATTAGCATTGACTGTTCATAAATCACAAGGTGCAACATATGAAAATGTTGCATACCATGTGCCTAAAAAGTATTTACTGTGTAATATGCTTTATGTAGGATGCAGTAGAGCAACATCAGCCAAGGGCTTATGTATAGACTATTTTCCATTTAATCCACCTAAACCATCTTCAAAAGTCAATGNGTTATATTAATTTAACTCGTATTATTATAATTAATTATGTTTAATAAATAATCTTTTTTTATTTAATTTTACATAAAATAAATAGATTAAATAACTAATTACCTTTTTCTTTCTCTGGTACTTTTATTACTTCAATAGTGGACAGATCAAGTAAATTTACGTCATTCGGCGTAATTAAGGTCAAAGGATTAGAACTAACTTTTGGCTCTAAAATAATTTATGTTTAAAAATATTACATATTTGTTTCAAAAATCAAACTTCATATTTTTTAAAAATGAATTATATTTTAAAAGTTGTATACTTTTTATGACTTTTTCATTTTCTCCAGATGAATTTCTTTTTAAATTTGGTTGAGCAGTAGTATTAGNTCATCTTCTTCGGATGAATTTCTTTTTAAATTTGGTCGAGCAGTAGTATTAGAAGATATCTCAAAAAGTTGTTTTTTTATTTCGGATTTTTTGCGTTCCAAATTTTTCTTATGAAAACTCTTAACGGATCATAAAAATATATTTAATTATATGATAAATTTATTTAAGAAATCTGCTTTAAGTCCAAAAAATGGTTTAGGGTATACCCTAAAATCTTTTTATTGAAATAAAGCATAATAAAATATTTGATTTGTTAGAAAAGGTTTCTAACAAATCAGCTGATATTAATAGCGGATTGTCTTTTGAAATAGCTATANTATACCTTTTCTAACAAATCAGCTGATATTAATAGCGGATTGTCTTTTGAAATTGCTATATTTTTTTTTTCTGTTGAATTTAAAATTTCATTTTTATATTTTTCAGATTTTTCATTCTGAAAAAGTGTTCCGAATTCTCTTTGCTGCATCATATTCTAGGTAACCAAAGAGATATTTAAATAAACAAATAAACTATACTTAATATTATATTATTATCTTCGATAAAAATTGAATTTCCCATAAAAATCTAATAGAAAAAATAGCAGAATAATATTAAACATTATATTACCGCATTTATATTAAGGGGATTGATAGTTTATTTTATATTTTTGAATCAGACAAACCCCAATAACATAGCTAAATCGAATAAATATATTAATATAATTATAGTTACCAATTTTTCTGGAATAATTTTATCATTTTTATTCGTTTTTCGATACGTGCGTTTTTTTGGAATAATGGAATTTTTTATAGGATAAATATTTTTATTAATAATTGCTGCAAATTGAATATAATTTTAATAATTATTAATTAAATAATCAATTTCGAAAAAGGTTTTTAATATTAAAATAGTTAAATTAAAGTAAAGCGACTGAATTATTGTTATATATGAATAAGAGAACTTATTATTAATTTTTCTTATATTTTATATTAAAAAACTTTTTCTCTATTCGAAATAGTTAGTTTAATTATTAATCTTAATAGTGTTTACAGATAATTCTTCCATCTTTAGTTGACTTTTTTGATATTTGTCCTTTATTTGTATTATTTAAAACACAATTGGAGTGCATGAAACGACGAATCCATATTTCTTCAACTCTGCGTATGACCTT